TTAGGTTTTTAGGGTTTGGGGCTTAAGGTTCCCTAAACCCTAAACCCTAAACCCTAAACGCTTTAGGGGTTTAGGGTCCAGTCCCAGGAGCCCACTTTTCTGCTTTCCCTGAGTCTTTTGCTCCTCAGGGGCCTCAGCCTCCAAATGCTCAGCTGAACCCTTCGCCTCCTGAGCCCATGGCTTAGGGTTTCGGGGTACAGGGTTTAGGGATTAGGGTTAAGGGTTTAAGGGTTAGGGATTAGGGTTTAGGGAGTAGGGTTTAGGGGGGCGGGGGATTAGATTAAGGATTTGGGGTTTAGCGGCCGTCTACTTTTCTCTTTCAACCTAGAGAACTAAGAGCTTCAGGGAATGTGGTGCTTTGGGGATAATAGTGCCTTGCTCCCTTCTGGGTGCAAACACGTGGGTGGATCTAATTTATACTGAAGTTGAAAAATTCGAACTTTGGATGTAGACTAGGGGTTCAGCTAAAGAGCAGCCTAACAAGAAGCCATAAACGAAGAGCAGCATGAGTTCAGAAAATGCGGCCTGGAGCCTCATGGATTTTCTACCCACTCACACCCATGCGTAATAGCCCGTTTGCGTTCTCCCGTTATCAGGCCTGAAGCGGCGTGATCGAAGCGCTAACTAATTGTGTGGAACCCAAGAAAGGTTGTTTAGGGCATCCATGAAACCTACAACCCTCAAGTAAAGTCCTCCTTCGGATCCTCCGGTACAATCTCCAGGGGCTCCTTGGGCGGGATGGCGGTGGGTTGTAGGCTGCAGGCTCGGGGGGGTGAATACCAGAGTGCTGCTGGGTTTGTAAGGACTCTACACCTGATCTGAGGGTTTCCCAAAATTAAGGGTACCCTATTGGGGGTCCCTATAATAAGGACTATAGTATTTGGGGGTCTATATTGGGGTTCCCTTATTTTGGGAAACTACCATGTAGCAATGTAACATTTTGTTCAGATTTTGGCTTCTCCGACAGACCTTCAACTCCATTCCGGACTTCAGGGATGGGAACTTCTGTAAGAAACGATCCTTGACAGTCCGCAAAAGGGGACCCCCACTATCTCCTTACGGCTTTCTTTCCCCTCACAAGGGACCTTAAGGCCCCCGTGCTTCCAGAAACCCTCCCATACTGTTGATACCCTCAAAAATGCACGACCTCAGAATGCCACAGTACCCCACTTGCCAAGATATAGGGTACCTAGAATCATGCACAATGGTCTGCGTCCACCGTAGCTGCTAACCCCTATGAAGTATCCCTACAATGCCAGGTACTCCTATATAACCCCTATATAAACCCTTTCAAGAGACCCCTAATTTCGGGAGCCTACCCTGCCCCCATATCTTGCACCAACTTAACACTAAACCCTGAATCCCACACTCTAGACCCTAAACTCTATACCCTAACCCCTTAACTCTAAACTCTAAACCCTAAAACCCTGCACCCCAAACCCTAAACTCTAAACCCGGAACTACAATCTAAACCCTAAAACCGGAACGCCAAACTCTAAACTCCAAACCCCAAACCATGTAGCGGCCTCTGCCGGAGGCTTCTCCGAAACAAAGGCGGCCTCGGGCTCAGGATCCTTGGCATCCAGCTCCTTCACAGGGTTTAGGGATTAGGTTCAGGGTTTGAGCGTTTAAGGGCTAAGGGTTAATTAAGGGTTTAGGGCTTAGGGTTTGGGGCTTAGGGCTTAGGATACAGGATTTGTTCAGGGTTAGGGTGTAGGGTTTGGGATTCGGGGTTTAGGGTTTAGCATGAGGGTTTAGGGGTCAGATTTGAATGCTTCTCTGGGGTTGCAAAGGACCCTTAGCCTACCAAGCTTGTCAGATTTTCTCAGTTGATAAAGCCCCAACAATTACCTAAACCCTAAGCCCTAAGCCCTAACTCAAATATCCATAATCCCCAGGCGCAACACCCCAACAACTTAGCCCCTAAACCCTAAACCCTAAACCCTTACTCCCTAAACCCTGGACTCCCCCCAAACATACGTGTGTATAGACATTAGATATATGTGTAGATCTATTAAGTTGTTAGAACTGTGGGTATTAAGGGGGTCGCTATTAAACTACAGCCCCTAATCCCAGACATGGTGCATGATTTTCACCACCCCATCAAATATTGCATACATGTATGTATGTATTTATATATATATATATATGTAACAGCCACCACATTATATACTTCTGTGTTCAGGTTTGATGTTTTGCGTTCACTTTGTGGGGTTTAGGGTTTCGTGATAAGGAGTTTAGGATGTGAGTACTGTTTCCGCTGTATCTCATCATTTCGGGAGGTGCGCTTGGGTGGAGTCCCACAACTTGCCCAGCCAAACCCTAAACCTGTCAAGAAGGTTGAGAGATTGCTCCCAAACCCTGATATAGAGGATGTTACAGGTCCTGCATCACTCTAGGTACCCTATACCCTGAAAATTATCGTGCTAAGTACGGCAAGGCCAGGCAGGAATTTTAGTAGCGGCAGTAGCGGGTGAACTTTGCCAACCAAGCTCTAGGGTCCGAACTTAGCCAGGCTCACCAATGCCCAGTTATTACCTGAGCACTCTGGGTCTGAGCCCACGAAACCCAATCGCGTCCCAACTAATATCGACCCCCCCCCCCTTGCCTAAGGGCACGGTCTTAGGTTTATGGCTTACCGTTTAGGGCCCCTTTTGGGGGAGTCCATGTTAGCTCCGGGGTATATGTCTTTTGGCCACGCCGGTCCTTGCACGACACTTTCTGAGCAGCCTTGCGCTTTCTCCTCAGTGAGGGGATTCCAAAACTTACAGTTTGAGCTTCGAAAATAATGGTTCGAGGTACCTTCAAAAGCCCTTCGGATCATAGTACCTGGTACCTAAAGCCATATTGACTGAGTTTCTGAGGGTTGAGGGTTCATTCAAATTTTAGAGCCGAGAGTGGAGGGGTGGGAGCTTCTCCCACACTGAGGTGCTACCCCTCAAAAATCCTCGTCGTACTGGTTGTTCAAGGGGGGGAATGGGGGAGTGGACTACCCCTACATGGGTGGAGGCTTAGGGCTTAGGGTTGAGGCATCTAATCCCCATACCTGTCCATGTATTCACTCCGCAACACCCCTTTCAAGCACCAGAGAGTCATGCGTAGGGGTTGCCCCAACCCCTGTGAAAAGGAACACATAACAATCATATCACTATAACCATATCAGATTTTTCGCCGTTGGCGTAGTTAAAACCCCATCTGAATTGCAACCTACCTGTAGCTGCAACGATAAGAAGAACACAGAGTTACAACTATACTGCACTTGTACCAGGAAGTTGTGATGACCCTTGACCTCCTAGCAGGCCTTGGGATTTGACATGTACTGTCAAATTCTGAATACTTACCAATAGTATTTCTGTGCGCCGAATAGGGTTTAGGGTTTAGGGTTTTAAAGTACGCTTCACCCCCAAACCCTATTTGTAAATGCTCAGGCCCCTACCTATCAGGCCCGTATATTTTGCTGATACCAAGGCCACTACATGACCTTTGTATACCATGGTAGCATAACTTCCGAGGTTTAGGATACTCAAGCAGGATTAATCCCTAAACCTTAAACCCTAAACCCTAACCAAGGATTTCAGTATCCACCATTTACCCTGAACCCTAAACCAGTAACCCTGAACCCTAGACCCTGAGCCCTGAACCCTAAACCCTGAACCGAAACCGCGCGGATTGACCGTTGCGATTCAAGGATTGAATTTTGAGGCCTGCGCCCTTGTCAGAGCTATGGTATTGGGCTAAATAACTGCAGGGGATACTAAAAATCCTGCATGACCCTAAGTACCCTGAAAGGGGATGTAGGTATATAAGATTATGTGAGTTTTTGGGTTTAGGGCATAGGATTGATGCTGAAAATCCTGCACGACCCTAGGTCCATAATACATTGGGTGTTACGGTGATAGTAAGGTCATGCAGGATGTTTAATATCAACAGTAGAATGCAATGGAGGGAGGAAAGCTTACACCACTTAAGTCACTTAAGGGTCCAGGGTTTAGGTTTAGGGTTTAGGGTTTACGGACTTAGGATCCCAAGAGAATTCTAACTCTGAGGGTAGGGGATACGTAGAGCGTCGCGCAAGGTTTCCTCCTTCTGCAATAGGGCTCTGGGGGATGCCCTTTAAAGCCTTAAGCCCTAAAAACTAAACCCTATACCACTACGGAGGGTTCTTTGTTTGCTACAGAGGGTTCTGTTTTTGCTACACAGGGTTCAGGGTTAAGGGAATCATTTGGATATTGGGGCTCTTTTTTTTGCTACATAGGGTTCAGGTGTAGGGAATATTTCGAATATCGGAAAACCGAATCGAAAAGAAGATAGAAAATGAACATTGAAAGTGGATTCCATAGGCATGAGTATAGGTACTGTATGCACAGGCATAGATTGAGAATCAGTTGGAAAAGAACACGAAAAATGAATGGGGCACTGAGTTCGCTCTAGGCATCTTGAATGAGGTTCTTCACTATAATAGGGGTCATATAAGGGCTCTATATGATTATACTTCAAATATTATCCAACTGATAAGTGGGGGCAGTACCCAACGCATTGTGCTTTCCTTCTGCAAAAGCTGGTTAGAAAAAATAACAGGATTCGCAAAATATCGGCCTCTATGAAACATTGAGCTTTCCGCTTTCCATACGTGGGTTTGCCATAGGTTCCAGTAAGGGGCATATTGTAAATTATAGGCAGCTCCACCTAAATAAACAAGGCCTGGGTAAGCGGTAACCTTTCAGAAAGTCAGGTGGTTGTCCCTTGTACTGTTAGGATTTGTACTCCAGAGTTTGAATCACTAAGCCATGGAATATAACCCCTTGCTACCGCAGGGTACCCAAAACCCAGGGTTACAAACTTAAAGCCGTTGAACGTCCCTAAACCCTAATCCCGAAACCCTACAGCAGATTTCCACACTCCTCCCCATGCCCCAATGTCAAGTGTGGTCCGCGATGTTTTTTGGCGCTGATCGGAAGTATCCAATACTAGGCGGGGCTGGCTAAGTTGGGCTAAGTCTCTTGACCTCCGCCGCAGGTATTCGCTGCATGATGGAGTCTGTGCCAGTGATGCTGCCATCAGGCAGCACATTACCTCAGTAGTCTTACTGGTTGATAGTAGTGAGGGGAGGAATGGATCCTAATAGTTGCCCCTGTACTCCGCGATACATGCCTTTTTCCTTGTTTCATTCCCTACTCACAACTAGCAAGTTTTGTGGGGAGGGGCGTTCATGTCTGCGCTCCCGACATGCTAATCCGGGTGATACTTTGAAGGTCCCCCAAATATGTTCATGAACCGGTTCCCGTGCAAAAATGTAAGGAAAGTTCATTATTGTCCCAAGGCGAACCCGAGGTCCTGTTCAGTCTCTTAGGTTGGGAGCTTTGCCTGCACAACCTCAAGCCCCTTGATTCCTGCAAAGTACAGTGCTTTCAGAACCCGAAGAGGTGCAGAATTTCGTGCATCAACACGTGCCCCCCTACATAATCCCTACATCATTCCTACGTAGCCCCTGTATGCCCCCTGAACAACCACCACAACATCCCTGTATAACACCTATGTCTGCAAATATTGCTTGGTTACAACTTGAAATCTTCCCGTCATTATTGGGGCCTTACCCTCGAACCCTACATGTTCCCTATGTCTTAACCTTTAAAAACCTGAACTCTAAGCCCCTAAACCCCCAGGAACCCTAAAAACCCTAAGCCCTAAAACCAAAAACCCTAAACCCCCAAAACCACGAAACCTAAACCCGAACCCCCTAAACACGGTCAACCCCTAAACGCTGAACCCTAAACCCTAAATCCCATTTGTTTTCTGCATGGTTGTCCCCTACCTGCCTTACTTTGCCCACATTACCCCAAAAAGAAACAGGGATCCTTTTTACGTAAATATGAGGAATCCCTTACCCACCCACCCCCAAAAAAAAAGATCCCTAAACTGTAAAATGTCCCAATAATATCCCTATATAACCCCTATATTCCCCTTTAGAGGATCACTTTAGTATCCCTATACTTGTTTAACCCCCTATATTCCCCTTTATCAAATCCCTAGCATTGATCCAGCTTAGAGCAAAGCCGTGGCGCCGTGCCCCTTGAAGGTGAGGATGTCCCCGTTGAAGTACTTCCAAGCCTGGGCTCTCTAGGGATATATTGGGACATATAGGGAGAAAAAGGGATAAATAGGGATATGTTGGAATATCAAGGGATATAGTGGGGCATATGGGGACATTTAGGGACATATATGGACATATAGGGACATATTGGGATATATTGGGACATATATATATTGGAATATATAGGGACATAAGCACAAGCTTTGCATCCTCAAACCAAGTGCCAAACGGAGAAGGCCATCCTTCGAGCACAACAGCGGTTTAGAGAGTAGGGCGTTTAAAGAGTATCTCCAAGTGTCTAGAACCCTTGAGTCCACACCAGGAAAACTAAAGTCTAACCTCCAAGCTTGAGGCTCTAAACCCCAACTCTAGTCCCTAAACTCTGAACCCGATCTCTTATCCCTAAACCCTAGATCGTACTCTCCCACGCCTCAACCCTTAACCCTGGCGTGATTGTTGATACTGAAAATCCCGCATGACACCTTAGTATACGATAAGACTAGGGATCCCACGTTCCACATTAGGGTTATATTGGGGTTATATTGGGATAATGGAAAAGATTGGGATAATGGAAAAGAAAATGGAAACTATTGGGATTATAGGGGTTCTATGGGGTTTGTATTAGGGATTATATTGGGGTTATACTCAGCGTCATGCATGATTTTCGGTACCAGTCGTACATAATACAATAATACCTGGATACTCTCTCTCTGTATATGTATGTATGTATAAATGTGTATGTATCTCCGTAGAGCCTACATGACCCCATATAGCCCTAAATGAACCCTCAATGCTGAATCCTATATGTCATAATTTTCAGAAACCCCATATCTCAGCTGCATGAGGCCCTTTGAAAGATCCAATTTTCACCCCAGCCGCACGCAACAACCCTAAACCCAAACCCTACACCTTCAACCTGAAACCCTCAAACTTAAAACTCTAAACTCCAAACATCCCCAAACCTTCCGCCCCGAACCCTAAATCCCAAACTCTCAACCTCAGAATGAGGGGACTTTCTATAGAGCGCAAAAACCCTATACATTGGGCACTGCCCCAGTCCTGTAACAGCCTAAATTAAGGGTCATATTAAGGGCTAGCTATATATATATATATGTATATAACTATATTACAAATATTATCCAACTGTTACAGAGTGGAGGGTAGTATGCAACCGATGCAAGTTCTATAACCCTAGACCCCAAACCCTGAATTGCTGGCCCAAGCCGCCAGCAGCTGGAAGATGTAGCTTGCCATTGCCAGAGGCACCACCGCCCAGGCCGTTGCTTCGCCTTTTATGGGTTTTGCGGTTTAGGGCTTAGGGTTGAAGGTTAAAGGTT